ACGTCACGTCACTATACCCAGGAAGTAAACAATGGAGAAAGAGAAATCTCCAACAAGGCGTTCTGGGGCAGCAGACAGGTCTTCTCTGTGTTAGAGTTTTACTCGCTACAGGGTGCACTTTGAGGGTTTGAGACTCTGCAGACCGGTCACATGCAGAACCTTCATAACAACAAGGGCACGGGTAAGAACCGGAAGAGCATGACATGGGACCTTTAAGTCTACATTATTTGCATGATACTCATAGGAGTGTTATTAAAATGTGCCGTGCAGGAAAAGCGTTCTGAGAGTCTGTAGCGTGAATCTAAAAAAGGCCATTAAGCATTAATACGTCATGGTTACGAAGAGGTGACAGATTCATCTCTGGAGATTATAAATCGGACAGCAGTGTCACAGAAATGATCAAAGTGCCAACAGTATCATAGCATCTATCCGAGCTTTAAAAACATGCAGTGGAACCAAATCGCTCAGTTTCAAATCGTTTTGAAGGCTGTTCCAAGTTAGAGGAGCTGCGCACATAAAAGCTTTCTTACCTACGTCAAAACCACATCATGTGATCTCAGGCAATAGCTACCTGCACCTCTCTGTGTGAGCAGATGCTAATATGCTCAAAACGAGTGGAATTGAGTGGGGTGGACTCTTCTTCTTCTTCTTCAAGATTGTCCATCAAATCTGCAACCCATTGATTAAAGCCCGTGAGAAGTATGACACGCAGAGCTAACTCCTTCCAGAGAATATCTGCTTCTAGTGACGCTCGCAAATACTCATTTTCTACCAGAACAATCAAAGATTAGATCAGATAAGATAACAGGGAACTTTATTTATCTCCGTGGGGAACATCAGGCGTTTAGAGAAGGGAACAAGCTGCTACTAGAAGCTGTTATCGCTGAGTCTGTGGAGGGCTTCAGGGATAGTTTAATAGAGAACCGCAGTGACGCGTCCTAAAACCCGGAAGCAAACTCCTTCCGGTTCCTTCATCAAAACGCAATGCAGTCTCTCCATAGGATGTTGGAAACTATCTGAACTAAGGTCTGTGGTTGAGACACATTGAAGAGACGGATCACGTTTTGTTCAGCCGGATAATCTCCACATGTCGACCCTACTTTTATAACATTACATTACATTTAGCTGACGCTTTTGTCCAAAGCGACTTACAATAAGTGCATTCGACCAACAAAATACAAACTTGAAGAAAACAGAATCATAAAGTACATCAGGTTTCATAGAGCCAAACATTTCAAGTGCTACTCAACTGGCTTTAGATAAGCCAGTCCTTTATTAGTATATAAGTGCTTTGTTAATAGTTCTATCGCTCGAAGTGGAGTCGAAAGAGATGAGTTTTCAGTCTGCGCCGGAAGGTGCCCTACTTTTATAATTTTCTAATCGTAAATCTATTGTCCAGAAGCAAAATGCTAACGTGATGCTATAAAGGAACTACAGCTGGGTCGCTGCTTCAACGTCACGCCAACTTCAGATCCAGATTCAAACACAGAGACTCTAAATGGAACGAGTTGAAGCGTTTGTTTGAACAGTACAACGGCCTCCACGACTTCTGTAGTCCTATTCAGCCACTTGGTAACAACCATCGTTTCTCAGACACGTCACCTCTTCAGAAATCACCAGCGGGGTCACTGCTGATGATTTAATGTAGAACAAAACGTGATCTGTCTCTTCAATGAGTCTCAACCACAGACCTGATTTACAGATATCTTCCAACATCCTATGGAGAAACTGTCCGTTTCTCAATCTCGAGGATGCTGGCTTGGTAGTCGCGTACTTCCAAGTCACTTCCTTCAGAAACGAAGCCAGTATACTTCCAAGCCACGGCTTCGGAAAACGAAGAAGAATGGAACAGGCTAACAAGTGTGCCACTCTCTCTAACGGTTTCAACATAAACTGTACCGAAAATAAATACCTCACGATGTCTATCTAATTATGAACTCGCTTTACTTTCAGGAACACATTTTTGGTGAAAACAAAGTCACATATCTACCAACACATGTTCTACGCCACTACATACTTACATTTAAATGTGTGCTGCGTCGGTTCAGCCATTCTCCGCAAGGGTTTTTGAAATTGGTCCGTGTGCAAAGCATTGTGGGGATTTTAAGGACGCGAAGGCCGTTTCTCAATCGCGAGGAAACTGGCTTCCAAGCCAATATTTCAAGGATACTACGTCATCGAGTGCCGCCGAAGGACTGTTCCAATCTCCAGCATACTTGGAATTCCACCGAGGCCGCGTCCTTGGTTTGGGGGTAATTTCGAGGCTGCACATGGGTAGACTTCGCGTCCTTCAATTTCCCCAAATCTGTGGCGGAAAATGTAAGGCGGGGCCTCTCATATGACGCACACCTGCACACTTGCTAGCCTGTTCCACTCTTCGTTTTCCGAATGCCAGGAAGGATTCTTGCCTAGCTTCTGAAGGAAGTGACTCGGAAGACATGTGCTACCAAGCAAGCATCCTCGCGATTGAGAAACGGCCACTTTCTACCCATGTGCAGCCTCGAAATTTCCCCCAAACCAAGGACGCGGCCTCGGTGGAATTCCAAGTATGCTGGAGATTGGAACAGTACTTCGGCGGCACTCGATGACGTAGCATCCTTGAAATATTGGCTTGGAAGCCAGTTTCCTCGAGATTGAGAAACGGCCCCTGAATTGCTTTTTGTCGAAGGAACCGGAAGTGGTAAAAATGTTAACTTACTTCCGTGTTTTAGGACGCGTCACTGCGGTTCTCTATTGACATTTAACTAAGATTGTTCACCCCCAACTGAGCACGATACCTCTGGGTTTGGCTCAGAGATCCAGACGGAGAAGTATTATATGTAACACAAAGATGGCTGCAATGTGGAACAGATTCCTATCAAAGATACAGCTTTATACATTTGAAATCCTGGTTTACAAAACTCAACATTTGTCCTCATTTTAGGGTCATTACTCATTTCAAAACAATCTGAGGAAATGACATTTAAAGTGTGTGGCAGGCGTTCCTTATCGCTCAGATTCATGATGAAACAGAAACGTTGGCAGATCACCAACAATCCGAGGAAGAAGCAGACGGAAACATTTATAAATAAGTCACTGAAAAGACGTCATGGGTGTTGTGGGTTTGTCAAAGTAATTACACGGTTTATAATCTCAACTTTATATCATACTGGAGGAATGATTCTACTTTAAAGAGTCCTCAGGTGTATATCAGTATGTAGTGTCTCTACTTTAAAGAGTCCTCTCCTGCTGACGTTCAGGTGTATATCAGTATGTAGTGTCTCTACTTTAAAGAGTCCTCTCCTGCTGATGTTCAGGTGTATATCAGTATGTAGTGTCTCTACTTTAAAGAGTCCTCTCCTGCTGATGTTCAGGTGTATATCAGTAGGTAGTGTCTCTACTTTAAAGAGTCCTCTCCTGCTGATGTTCAGGTGTATATCAGTATGTAGTGTCTCTACTTTAAAGAGTCCTCTCCTGCTGATGTTCAGGTGTATATCAGTATGTAGTGTCTCTACTTTAAAGAGTCCTCTCCTGCTGATGTTCAGGTGTATATCAGTATGTAGCGTCTCTACTTTAAAGAGTCCTCTCCTGCTGATGTTCAGGTGTATATCAGTATGTAGTGTCTCTACTTTAAAGAGTCCTCTCCTGCTGATGTTCAGGTGTATATCAGTATGTAGTGTCTCTACTTTAAAGAGTCCTCTCCTGCTGATGTTCAGGTGTATATCAGTATGTAGTGTCTCTACTTTAAAGAGTCCTCTCCTGCTGATGTTCAGGTGTATATCAGTAGGTAGTGTCTCTACTTTAAAGAGTCCTCTCCTGCTGATGTTCAGGTGTATATCAGTATGTAGTGTCTCTACTTTAAAGAGTCCTCTCCTGCTGATGTTCAGGTGTATATCAGTATGTAGTGTCTCTACTTTAAAGAGTCCTCTCCTGCTGATGTTCAGGTGTATATCAGTATGTAGCGTCTCTACTTTAAAGAGTCCTCTCCTGCTGATGTTCAGGTGTATATCAGTATGTAGTGTCTCTACTTTAAAGAGTCCTCTCCTGCTGATGTTCAGGTGTATATCAGTATGTAGTGTCTCTACTTTAAAGAGTCCTCTCCTGCTGATGTTCAGGTGTATATCAGTATGTAGTGTCTCTACTTTAAAGAGTCCTCTCCTGCTGATGTTCAGGTGTATATCAGTAGGTAGTGTCTCTACTTTAAAGAGTCCTCTCCTGCTGATGTTCAGGTGTATATCAGTATGTAGTGTCTCTACTTTAAAGAGTCCTCTCCTGCTGATGTTCAGGCCTTTGCAGATAATTGATATGTAATAAAATTTGAAAAAACACCTTTAAGGAACTGACCTGTTATTCACTCTTCTTCTTCATTTATTTTAGGACGCCTTCGAGATGAAATCAGACGAAGAGAGGAAAGATTTCGGCGTCAGCATCATCGAGAGATTCCTCATGAGAAAGGTCTGGAAACTGCACACAAATACAAACGTCTTTACTACGAATAACGCTAAAAAAAAAAATCAAAAAAGGAAATAATAGATACATATTAAAATATGAAATATGTGTTATATAAACAATCAAAATGTTTAAATATAAAATAAAAGGGACATTTCTTCTTGGACCACCATTTGCTTCACCTGTGTGTTTCTGACCTCCTAGTCTCTTGTTTATTAGTAAAAAACACACGACACACACACACACAACACACAAACACACACAACACACACAACAACAGCAAATCAACCAACACACACACACACACCCACATCACACACACAACACACACACAACACACACACACACACACACACACCACACACAACAACACACACACACACACACACACACACACACACACACACACACACACACACCACACCACACACACACACACACACACACACACACACACACACACACACACACACACACACACACACACACACACACACACAAAGTTCAGTTCTAATGTCAACAACACTGTGTGCACTAGCTACACATTCCTGGCACTCACTCATCCCTCAGGCCATCAGACGATTAAACACCTGAACTTTTTAAAGAACATTCATCTGTTTTGCATTTTGCAAATGATTGATCTAATACATCATTCTGTGACTTCAGTTTTTCCTTGCCATATCTACACTGCAGCTAACATGCACATGACAGCCGAGAAGCTATGGTTTGACCGTCTTCATGCTTTGTCTGCAGTCGATGCAGTGTGTGTACGTGGTGCAGAAACACGAGCAGAGCTGCATCCACAGCCTGGAGGTCGACTCCTGCACCGACGTCTTCCAGAGCTGCAGGGAGTGAGTTCACGTCTCTCTCTTTCTGCTAACATACGTTATTAACGATGATACGGTAATACTCAGATCAAGTCTGAAATGTGACTCGCATAGCAGCTCCATGTGTAACATCAATAGATATCAAGACACAATACACAGCAGAGATGGAGGACTCGAGAGCCGATTTTCGGGACTCGTGACTCGACTCGGACTCGGCACTGATTGACGCGACTCGGACTTGGACTCGTGAATTCTCGCGCACGATGACTTGGACTCAGACTCGACTACGACTCTCCCTAGGTGACTCGGAGAGTGGTGACTCGAGAGTGACTTGGACTCTGATACATAGAAAGGTTTTATAAACAGCTAGTCAAATGAACAAGGTCAATTACAAACCTTCATTACTGTGGGTTATAAAATAGTTCTGTCAACTTCATTTTTCCAATTGCATTTCAAGTAACAATTACATGTGACGATAAAGGCTTTGAGAGTGTGGAAATGTGGGTTCAAAGTTAATTGAATGTCCCTCTTAAAGAGCCATATGAACCTTGTGTATATATACGATCCGATAATACTTTAATGGTGAGATCAAGTCTGAAATGTGACTTGCAGCTCCATGTGTCACATCAACAGATATCAAGACACAAGAACAACAAACACTAACGTAACAGCAGGACCAGTGAGAGCTGCTCAAAGCGCCTTCAGCGTGCATCTGATCTGTAGCTCTGTGTTCACTGAGAGGACTGACTGGAGCACAAAGGATGCTTCAGGCTGACTGGAGCACAAAGGATGCTTCTGGCTGACTTTAGTGAATCTCCATCAGATGGTAGCTGCTCAGATTCTCTCTCAGAGCATGCTTTGGGTCCCAGGTGATGCTGCTGGAGCCTCTCAGGTTGTTATGGTCTGTGAGTCAGAGAGGCTCTGACAGGGGGACCAACTCTCTTTGAGCAGATTGTTGACAGGTGGAGCAGGATTGATTTTAAATTAACCCCTTCATTTCATGCATTAGAGATCTACACAACTACCTGAGCGAAGAACCCTTCAGTCAGTACCAGCAGAGCATGTTCTTCGAGCGCTTCCTGCAGTGGAAGATGCTGGAGAGGTCAGTGTGTGTGTGTGTGTGTGTGTGTGTGTGTGTGAGAGAGAGAGTGTGTGCGTGTGTGAGTGATTGAGTGTGTGTGATTGAGTGTGTGTGTGTGTGTGTGTGTGTATAAACAAGGAAACAGACAGACAAAGCACAATGACACATGTGTTGGGAAGCTGGTTTTTCTGCTTGTTCTCTAAAACGCTCCGTTGCTCTTACTGTTGACTCCGAGTCACTTTCTCTGTTTCTGTTTCTGTTTTTAAATCAGTGACAAAATGCTGTGTTTCCTTTTCAAGGCGGCCAATCACCAAATACAGGTTCAGACAGTACAGAGTGCTGGGGAAGGGAGGCTTTGGAGAGGTAATGTCCCGGATACAATTATTTAATGTTTATGTTAGTCAAGTTTGCAATTAAAGATATTTTAAAATGTAAAAAGTGAGAAAAATAAATAAATAATAATAACGTTTAAAATAAATTAAAATATAATAAAATATAAATTTAAATAAATCGAAATATAATAAAAATATCAAATAAAATAAATTAAAATATAATCAAATATAAATTAGAATAAATCTAAATATAATAAAATATAATATAATAAAATATCAAATAAAATAAATTAAAATATAATAAAATATCAAATAAAATAAATTGAAATATAATAACTTTAAACTGATCTTGAATACCATATAATTAATGATTTAACTACACCTTGATATGTCTCAGGTGTGGGCGTGTCAGGTTCGAGCCACTGGGATGATGTACGCCTGCAAGAAGCTGGACAAAACTCACGTGAAGAAGAGGAGGGGGGAAGCCATGGCTCTGAACGAGAAGCAGATCCTGGAGGCGCTGGACAGCAGATTCGTGGTGAGATTAAACATCTCAAACTCTCTGTTCAGTGTTTTAAAATGCTTTCAAGATGTTTGTGCTGATAAATAACACCACAGGTAAGAGTATTTTAGATTTGTAGGTCAACTGTCCCTTAAAAAGACAAGTCTGGTGGTGATATTTTATTGTATCTGTCAGCTGTTAACTGCTCTCATTAACACTCAGTTGGATTGAATCATACCTCGCTGGTAGGCGTCAGGATGTTATCGTCAATAATCGACTCTCCAGCTCTAGACTTAAGCACCGGAGCACCACAAGGTTCAATACTTGGTCCACTTCTTGTTACCTTATATATGAATGAGCTGCCATCTGTGTGTCCTGATGTGAAAACACAGCTACATGCCGATGAAACCGTGATATGTGTTTTTCACAAAAATAAAATGCAACATTGTGTAAAATATAAGCATCTCAGGTGGAAATATTGATAATGTGCCGCAGGTTAAGTACCTGGGAATCATAATTAACTCGTAGGTCTTTTAGCTCTGAGCCCAGGGTTAGCCTAAAAGAGTCCAGGAAGCTTATTTACAAGTTAACAGCGTTTAATAAAACAATGATACAATGGGTGTGTTTCACTTCTCTTATTTTTCATTTCCTCGCTCCCGGTATCACCGGAAGTTGATTTGTCTGCGCCATCTTGAGTAGCGTCCCAGTGGCCTTATTTGTGACGGACGACCGAGGACCGAGTATCGAGGAGCGATAACCGAGGAGCGATAATCGAGGAACCACCAGACCATCCTCCGGTGAAATCCTCAGACACTCGCCCCGCCCCCTTACTGTGTATCGCTCACTGATTGGACGATGCAGGGCATGCACTGATCCGGCTGCTGTCAGACGATCAGCTGTGCGGCGTCATCACAAACGGACGTCGCTTCACGTGATGCTCCGGAGGAAACGACGTCCCTTTGCTCTTAAAACTAATTTCCCTGCTTCTCGTGGTTTCCTTGTCGCAAGTGATGGACGCAAGGAATCCATTTAACCGAAGTGAAACGCACCCAATGATACAATGAAATTGCAAAATGGTTTCCTGCTGGCTTCCCATTTTATCATCTGTAGTCTTCTCCTATTGGCTTAGCGTTGACGGGGGCGGGTCCAAGGCACGTGCTGTCGTTTTCTGATGTTAGTGTTACAATATTCTAATATCTGTTGGTCATTTAAACATTCCCTAATAATAGCATTGCAGCGTAAATAAGTGAGGGTTAAAGACAGTGTGTTTAGTGTGCAACACCACGTGTCATTTCTCCTTAAATTCACGTACACAAAACATAATATTAGCTACATGCTAATGCTAACACCGTCTGAGCATACAGGAAGTCTAGTGTGTTGACAATGTCGCGAACATCCGGTTACAGAATAAAACAGTGTTATTAATTTTAAGTTACGCCATATAATATTGATTGTATTCCTTACAACTCTAATCTAACATTCAAAACACAAGTCAACAAAGTGACCCAAAGACTTAGCCGAGCCAATTTTAAATACATAAGAAACACAATGACATTTTTGCTGATCTCTGACACACGAGGAGGAATACATCTCTACATTATTTCTTATTTGGTGTCCAGGTGAGTCTGGGGTACGCCTACGAGACGAAGCACTCGCTCTGCATGGTGCTCACCATGATGAGTGGGGGGGATCTGAGGTTCCACATCCACAACATCGGGCAGCCGGGCCTCGACAAGAACAGAGTCCGGTTCTACGCTGCGGAGGTCTGCTGCGGAATCATGCACCTGCACAGGAAGTCAATAGTCTACAGGTGAGTGGGGGTCTGCAGGGGGATTTATTTATTTATTACGCATGTTTCTTAGTTACATTAAGCTGTCTTTGGCCCTTTTTCTGCTGTAACAAGGGTTAATTTAAATAAGGGTATATTCTGATTCTGATATAGTATACTGTAGGAATACTTCACTACAAGGGACAGTACAAAGGTGGAAAAGTAACATTTACACTGTGCTTGAGTAGAGTTTTGAGCTATTACTTTACTGGTGTTTTTCCATTTATAACCACGTATTTTTTACCCCACTTCATTTATCTGAAAGTGTTAGTAGTGGTAGTATTTCAAGTCAAAGTCAACTTTATTGTCAATCTTTCAGTTTGTGTGTAGAGACTGAGAGATCGAAATACCGTTTCCCACAATCCAGACGAATGAAAAATACAAATATATATAAAACTATGTATAAATATATGTATATATGTATACACAATCAACAGACACATTTATACATATGCACACATGGAAGACAACAATAAAAGCATAACAATCAAGTGAAACAAAATAAAAGTCATTTCAAAATGTGTGATGGTGTTTTCTGTATGACGCAAAGACTGAATACTGATCAGAGATAAGATCAGAAGATCAAATGTACTTTATTGATCAGAATTTGGGAAATGTTTGCGTTGCAGCAGCATCAGAAACAACAAGGCAGTGCACCTAAATTAAAAGAGTAGAAATGAAACCTGCTAAAGTTTAAACATCTCAAATAGAAATAAAACAGCATTAAAACAGTAGAATATACAACATGATAAACTGTCTGACGAATAAAACACTACTGATTGATATTAAACACAAATATAAAGCAGGATATGATTTACATTAAGTGTGTGAGGAATGGCGTCACATTACATATCATCGTAGATTGTGCACTGTGAGTCCAGTTAACCAAAGAGAAGCTAGAGGTTCAACCGGAAGTACCATGCCTGTTTTGAAAGAGTAAGAAGTAGTACAGTGATACCAGAACGATATTTAAGTACAGTAATTAAGTATTTGTACTTCATACTGTGCAGTTCTTGGAGAGTATGAAGGAGGATCTAGAGTCGCAGCAGAAAGTCAAACCGGTTGATCCATGACATCATTTTGCATTAAAAAAACAATACAATCTTCTTCAATTACAAACAATGAAAGTCATGACTGGAGTTTCCAGTTACTCCTCATCATTCCAGCTGTTCTTGTTTTACTGCTGGGGAAGTTCATTGAACAACAGTGTCTTTTATAAACACTTCATTTCTAATTGGATGTACTAATAACTGCAATTGTAATGTACCTTTAGATAAAAGACTCTTTGTGCAGCACAAACGGTCTCTCTCTCTCAGGACACGCCATGTTCGATACCTCTGCTCTCATCACCTCTAAACAAAGTGCTTTGCTTCCTCCTCAGAGACATGAAGCCAGAGAACATCCTGCTGGACGACAACGGTACGTAGGAGACAGTGAACGCATCGTGATGCCTTCACTGTCAGTGAGAAACAGCGGAGGGAGGAGTACTCAGATCTGGTACTTGAGTAGAAGTAGAAGTACTCAGATTTTGTACTTGAGTAAAAGTAGAAGTACTCAGATCTTGTACTTGAGTAAAAGTAGAAATACTCAGATCTGGTACTTGAGTAAAAGTAGAAGTACTCAGATCTTGTACTTGAGTAAAAGTCGAAGTACTCAGGTCTTGTACTTGAGTAAAAGTAGAAGTACTCAGATCTTGTACTTGAGTTAAAGTAGAAGTACTCAGGTCTTGTACTTGAGTAAAAGTAGAAGTACTCAGATCTTGTACTTGAGTAAAAGTAGAAGTACTCAGATCTTGTACTTGAGTAAAAGTAGAAGTACTCAGATCTTGTCCTTGAGTAAAAGTAGAAGTACTCAGATCTTGTGCTTGAGTAAAAGTAGAAGTACTCAGGTCTTGTGCTTGAGTAAAAGTAGAAGTACTCAGATCTTGTACTTGAGTAAAAGTAGAAGTACTCAGATCTTGTCCTTGAGTAAAAGTGGAAGTACTCAGATCTTGTCCTTGAGTAAAAGTGGAAGTACTCAGATCTTGTCCTTGAGTAAAAGTAGAAGTACTCAGACCTTGTACTTGAGTAAAAGTAGAAGTACTCAGATCTTGTACTTGAGTAAAAGTAGAAGTACCAGAGTGTAGGAATACTCTGTTACAGTAAAAGTCCTGCATTCAAAATGTTCCTCAAGTGAAAGTAGAAAAGTATTCTCATCAAAATATAGTGAAAGTAGCGACAGTGAAAGTAGTCATTGTGCAGATTGGTCCATTTCAGAATAATGTATTTATTAGCAGAAATACTCAAGTAAAGTACAAGTACCTCTAAATTGTGCTTAAGTAAATGTATAGTTACTGGTGTGCAATACATATCTCTAGAACACGTGTAATGTTTATCTAATGGCGTGGATCTGGTGATGAAACGCTCTCTGTGTTTTGAGTCTGAAGATAAGGTTCGAGTCGAGCCTTCGGTTCAAACAAAGGTTCAGGAAGTGAACTCCGCTCAGGTGTGGTATCTATTTTTAGAAAAGCACCTGTTCCTGCATTCTTAGGTTAAGAGACCTGGATCCACCTTTAGTTGTGCGTGTTTTCAATTATTACACATTCCTGTTGAGAGCCATAACCAGAGGAGGAGGAAGCGTTAGTATAAATAGAAAGGCTATGGTCTTAAAATACTCTCGAGGGAAAGTCCGGTGTAGTTAGGGACAGAAGTAAATTATTCGTCATCATTTGTTTTTTGGAACTTCTTTCCATGTATGCTTTTGGACATTGTTTGTATATTTCTTTTGGCATTTTTCACATTTTACAGATTCTTTCAGACATTTTCTGCCAAGTTTTCTGTGAAAGTAGATCCATCTTACTTCTTTAATTACTTAATTAATAAGCCCTGAATTCAAAATGTTACTTACTGTAAGTAGAAGTAAAGGAATATTATAAACAAATAGGTTCATTATTCATCATCACTTGTTTTTGGTACTTTTTACACGAAGGCTTTTGGAAACATTTCAGAAATTATTAATATTTCTTCTGGAATTTTTCCCATTAAAAAAAAATTGTTATGTATTTTTTAAACAAATATTTTTGGAGAGCTCCGAGCCATTCTCCAAACGTTTTGTCGCATCATTATCTGTGTTTTTTTAATCATATTTTGTCACTGAAGAAACACTCAGAATCTACTCAGGTTTTAGAAGTATTACCACCAAATATTTCATTTCATTTTTATTTGTCCCGTTCATGATGTTCAGGTGTATATCAGTATGTAGTGTCTCTACTTTAAAGAGTCCTCTCCTGCTGATGTTCAGGTGTATATCAGTATGTAGTGTCTCTACTTTAAAGAGTCCTCTCCTGCTGATGTTCAGGTGTATATCAGTATGTAGTGTCTCTACTTTAAAGAGTCCTCTCCTGCTGATGTTCAGGTGTATATCAGTATGTAGTGCCTCTACTTTAAAGAGTCCCTCTCCTGCTGATGTTCAGGTGTATATCAGTATTGTAGTGTCTCTACTTTAAAGAGTCCTCTCCTGCTGATGTGCAGGTGTATATCAGTATGTAGTGCCTCTACTTTAAAGAGTCCTCTCCTGCTGATGTTCAGGTGTATATCAGTATGTAGTGTCTCTACTTTAAAGAGTCCTCTCCTGCTGATGTTCAGGTGTATATCAGTATGTAGTGTCTCTACTTTAAAGAGTCCTCTCCTGCTGATGTTCAGGTGTATATCAGTATGTAGTGTCTCTACTTTAAAGAGTCCTCTCCTGCTGATGTTGAGATGTATATCAGTATGTAGTGTCTCTACTTTAAAGAGTCCTCTGCTGCTGATGTTCAGGTGTATATCAGTATGTAGTGTCTCTACTTTAAAGAGTCCTCTCCTGCTGATGTTCAGGTGTATATCAGTATGTAGTGTCTCTACTTTAAAGAGTCCTCTCCTGCAGATGATCAGGTGTATATCAGTATGTAGTGTCTCTACTTTAAAGAGTCCTCCTCTGCTGATGTTCAGGTGTATATCAGTATGTAGGGTCTCTACTTTAAAGAGTCCTCTCCTGCTGATGTTCAGGTGTATATCTGTATGTAGTGTCTCTACTTTAAAGAGTCCTCTCCTGCTGATGTTCAGGTGTATATCAGTATGTAGTGTCTCTACTTTAAAGAGTCCTCTCCTGCTGATGTTCAGGTGTATATCAGTATGTAGTGTCTCTACTTTAAAGAGTCCTCTCCTGCTGATGTTCAGGTGTATATCAGTATGTAGTGTCTCTACTTTAAAGAGTCCTCTCCTGCTGATGTTCAGGTGTATATCAGTATGTAGTGTCTCTACTTTAAAGAGTCCTCTCCTGCTGATGTTGAGATGTATATCAGTAGTAGTGTCTCTACTTTAAAGAGTCCTCTGCTGCTGATGTTCAGGTGTATATCAGTATGTAGTGTCTCTACTTTAAAGAGTCCTCTCCTGCTGATGTTCAGGTGTATATCAGTATGTAGTGTCTCTACTTTAAAGAGTCCTCTCCTGCAGATGATCAGGTGTATATCAGTATGTAGTGTCTCTACTTTAAAGAGTCCTCCTCTGCTGATGTTCAGGTGTATATCAGTATGTAGGGGTCTCTACTTTAAAGAGTCCTCTCCTGCTGATGTTCAGGTGTATATCTGTATGTAGTGTCTCTACTTTAAAGAGTCCTCTCCTGCTGATGTTCAGGTGTATATCAGTATGTAGTGTCTCTACTTTAAAGAGTCCTCTCCTGCTGATGTTCAGGTGTATATCAGTATGTAGTGTCTCTACTTTAAAGAGTCCTCTCCTGCTGATGTTCAGGTGTATATCAGTATGTAGTGTCTCTACTTTAAAGAGTCCTCTCCTGCTGATGTTCAGGTGTATATCAGTATGTAGTGTCTCTACTTTAAAGAGTCCTCTCCTGCTGATGTTCAGGTGTATATCAGTATGTAGTGTCTCTACTTTAAAGAGTCCTCTCCTGCTGATGTTCAGGTATATATCAGTATGTAGTGGTCTCTACTTTAAAGAGTCCTCTCCCTGCTTATGTTCAGGTGTATATCAGTATGTAGTGTCTCTACTTTAAGAGTCCTCTCCTGCTGATGTTCAGGTGTATACTCAGTATCTAGTGTCTCTACTTTAAAGAGTCCTCTCCTGCTGATGTTCAGGTGTATATCAGTATGTAGTGTCTCTAATTTAAAGAGTCCTCTCCTGCTGATGTTCAGGTGTATATCAGTATGTAGTGTCTCTACTTTAAAGAGTCCTCTCCTGCTGATGTTCAGGTGTATATCAGTATGTAGTGTCTCTACTTTAAAGAGTCCTCTCCTGCTGATGTTCAGGTGTATATCAGTATCTAGTGTCTCTACTTTAAAGAGTCCTCTCCTGCTGATGTTCAGGTGTATATCAGTATGTTAGTGTCTCTACTTTAAAGAGTCCTCTCCTGCTGATGTTCAGGTGTATATCAGTATGTAGTGTCTCTACTTAAAGAGTCCTCTCCTGCTGATGTTCAGGTGTATATCAGTATGTAGTGTCTCTACTTTAAAGAGTCCTCTCCTGCTGATGTTCAGGTGTATATCAGTATGTAGTGTCTCTACTTTAAAGAGTCCTCTCCTGCTGATGTTCAGGTGTATATCAGTATCTAGTGTCTCTACTTTAAAGAGTCCTCTCCTGCTGATGTTCAGGTGTATATCAGTATGTAGTGTCTCTACTTTAAAGAGTCCTCTCCTGCTGATGTTCAGGTGTATATCAGTATGTAGTGTCTCTACTTTAAAGAGTCCTCTCCTGCTGATGTTCAGGTGTATATCAGTATGTAGTGTCTCTACTTTAAAGAGTCCTCTCCTGCTGATGTTCAGGTGTATATCAGTATGTAGTGTCTCTACTTTAAAGAGTCCTCTCCTGCTGATGTTCAGGTGTATATCAGTATGTAGTGTTTCTACTTTAAAGAGTCCTCTCCTGCTGATGTTCAGGTGTATATCAGTATGTAGTGTCTCTACTTTAAAGAGTCCTCTCCTGATGATGTTCAGGTGTATATCAGTATGTAGGGTCTCTACTTTAAAGAGTCCTCTCCTGATGATGTTCAGGTGTATATCAGTATGTAGGGTCTCTTCAAAACATGACTCTACCATTGAGCGAAAAGGAGCAGGGAGAAGAATACAATCTTATGTGACCTGCCCCTTTCTAAAAAACCTAAATACAAATAGATGGTCTGCCCTTCATAATAATATTATTTTTTTTTTTTTCACAGCCACACATAACAGTATCTTAGGATACTAACAGAAACACACAAAACAAATACTTATATCCCACTTGACGGTTAACGGAAAGAAACAACACAACATCACATGTATAAGGAAAAGAAAAGTGCAACACCCTCATCTGAGGAAGAAGAAGGTGGAAAGCGACGCATGATGATAATAATAACAATAACAACAATAACAATGGCAATATACTTGAATTGGTAACGTTTGTTTTGGACATTTCTCTCTATTACCTCTGGAATTTTCAGACATGTTCCAAACAATCTTCTGTGTATTTTAAAATGTTTCTTTTCACAAAAATGGGAAGAAACGCTCAGAATCTACTCAGGTTTCTAGAAGTACTAGCTCCAAATATACTTTAATTAGTAACGTTTATTTTTCACATTATTTTTGGAGCATTTCCAGACAATTCTCTGTGTTTTTTTGTACATATTTCTTATCACTACTCAGGTGTTGTCCTGGAGTAAATGTACTGAATGAAATGTTGTGGTTGAGCAGCTCTGGAGGAGGAGCTGACTGAGAGCTGAAGGGAAAGTCCGTCTTCTTCACGGTGGAAAGATAAACCGGTTGGGTGATTCCTATTAATATCTTTTTGTTTATTTCCTTCAGGACACATCCGCATCTCTGACCTGGGCCTGGCTGTGAGGCTGAGCGAGGGCTCGCTGGTGAGGGGCAAGGTGGGCACCGCAGGGTACATGGGTACGTTTAGATCGGTCAATTTGTTGAATTCAAAAAGTCTATTTTTTCTTGCATTTTAAGAAGTTGTATATTTACAGAGCATGCACTACGAAAGGAAGTGCAGTTAAAAGTGTAAGAAGTACAATATTAAGCAGTAAATAGGATACAAAATACAACATTTCATTAAAAATATATACATTTTTTGTCTTTTTTAAGAAAATACATATTAATACAGCATCAACCTGATTAAATACAGCTAAGACTATAACACATACAATAACAATTAACAAATCCAAAGAAAGTTAATTAATAAAAGGACTTAATACTTACACTATATTTATACAGCCCAACGTGACAAATTACCTCGTAGTTAACGTTACTTTTAGAGGTTAAATACAACTCATGAACCCTATATATAAAAAGTTAAGACACTGACTGTAAAATAACAAAACATGCTCAGTTTTCTCTCTCTACTTTTTGCCTCTGTTGAAAATTAAAGACAATATTTGGTGTTTGATTGGAATAAAACCTTTTAAACCATATTTTAAACTGCAAATTGCATCACTTTAGAGCACACGTGTCAAACTCGAGGCCCGGGGGCCAAATCCGGCCCTTGGTGGATTTAATTTCGGCCCGCAGGATAATTTCTAATTCCTATTAGATCTGGCCCTCCGGTATATTGCACGCACACCTTCCCTCCATCCTGAGGGTCTCCTCCGCTCAGAGCCTGAGCCCAAACATTGATGACCTTGCACCCAAGATGAGATGCCAAGTATCTGAGCTAGCATCACAGAGCAGCACACTGAGTTCAATGGATGCTTCCTTCTGCACTTTCTCTCAGGACAACAGGACATGTTTGGTTTCTCTTTGAGGGGAATAGTTTTGTTGAAGCTGTTGTTGGCCTGTGGGGAAATGTACTCATAAGAAATGACTCTGGAGAAGCTGCAGATAGAGCCATAAGAAATGAATGCAGCTGATTATTTAATGTTGTTTTTATAGGCAATCATTGAAGCTTTGTTAGTTCCAGGTTTAATATGTGCAATAAGTTCATTTCAATAAGTTCTGCTATAAACATTGAACCAGTCCGGCACTCCACTAGTACCCATTTTTAAATGTTGACCCACTGTGTATTTGAGTTTGACCCCCCTGCTATAAGGAATATAAGATTACCTCAAAGTCAAACTCAACTTTATTGTCAATCTTTCAGTTTGTGTATACAGACAGAGAGATCGAAATACCGTTTCCCACAATCCAGAATACAAAAACAAATATATATGCAAATACCTATATATACACAATCAACAGACACATGTGTACATATGCACACATTAAGACATACATAAAAGCACAACAATATATACAAAATAACAGTCACTTCAAAATCTTTGGGTATATATCTTATATCTTCAGGCATTATAATTATATGATATATAGATAAAAACAAAGTTTAACATGATTTTCTAACAATAAAGGATGCATATCAAATATTAAGACACTCACCCTGAACATCCTCGGGTTCCTCTCTTCCTCCACTAACCCTGAAACTCTGCAGATGTAATGGATGTTTTCCTCCTGGTTCAGCCCCCGAGGTGATCGGACACAAACACTACGGGCTGAGCGTGGACTGGTGGGGTCTCGGCTGTCTGATCTACGAGATGACGGCGGGGAAGCCCCCCCTCCGACAAAAAGGAGAACATCCCAAAGCCGCGGAGATGGAGAGGAGGATCCAGAACGAACCGCTGGAGTTCGGGGAGAAGTTCGGGAAATCTGTGAAAAACCTCTGTTCCTCCGTGAGTCTGAAATCAATATAATCAGGTGTTGAATCAGACTTTAGTTCCACCTGGAGTAAATCCACCAGCTACCCTGCAGTATACAAAGTACTTCAGACTAGCTGCACCTTCACCAGCTTTGAGAACACTTTCATGATCAATCATTATAAAACATATCATATATATTATTCTGAAATGGACCAATCTGCACAACGACTACTTTCACTGTCGCTACTTTCACTATATTTTGATGAGAATACTTTTCTACTTTCACTTGAGGGAACATTTTTTGAATGCAGGCCTTGTACTGTAACAGAGTATTCCTACACTCTGGTACTTCTAACTTTTACTCAAGAACAAGATCTGAGTACTTCTACTTTTACTCAAGTACAAGATAGTTGAGTACTTCTACTTTTACTCAAGTACAAGATCTGAGTACTTCTACTTTTACTCAAGTACAAGATCTGAGTACTTCTACTTTTACTAAGTACAATATCTGAGTACTTCTACTTTTACTCAAGTACACGACCTGAGTACTTCTACTTTTACTCAAGTACAAGATCTGAGTACTTCTACTTTTACTCAAGTACAAGATCTGAGTACTTCTACTTTTACTCAAGAACAAGATCTGAGTACTTCTACTTTTACTCAAGTACAAGATCTGAGTACTTCTACTTTTACTAAGTACAAGATCTGAGTACTTCTACTTTTACTCAAGTACAAGATCTGAGTACTTCTACTTTTACTCAAGAACAAGATCTGAGTACTTCTACTTTTACTCAAGTACAAGATCTGAGTACTTCTACTTTTACTCAAGTACAAGATCTGAGTACTTCTACTTTTACTCAAGTACAAGATCTGAGTACTTCTACTTTTACTCAAGTACAAGATCTGAGTACGTCTACTTTTACTCAAGTACAAGATCTGAGTACTTCTACTTTTACTCAAGTACAAGATCTGAGTACTTCTACTTTTACTCAAGTACAAGATCTGAGTACTTCTACTTTTACTCAAGTACAAGATCTGAGTACTTCTACTTTTACTCAAGTACAAGATCTGAGTACTTCTACTTTTACTCAAGTAGACGATCTGAGTACTTCTACTTTTACTCAAGTACAAGATCTGAGTACTTCTACTTTTACTCAAGAACAAGATCTGAGTACTTCTACTTTTACTCAAGTACACGACCTGAGTACTTCTACTTTTACTCAAGTACACGACCTGAGTACTTCTACTTTTACTCAAGTACAAGATCTGAGTACTTCTACTTTTACTCAAGAACAAGACCTGAGTACTTCTACTTTTACTCAAGAACTGAGTACTTCTACTTTTACTCAAGAACAAGACCTGAGTACTTCTACTTTTACTCAAGAACAAGACCTGAGTACTTCTACTTTTACTCAAGAACAAGACCTGAGTACTTCTACTTTTACTCAAGAACAAGACCTGAGTACTTCTACTTTTACTCAAGAACAAGGCCTGAGTACTCCTCTCACTTCTGGTCTTTGTAGAAATGACTAAATACTTATCCATATATCTAAATATACGTCTCTGTTCCTCAGCTGCTGAACAAAGACCCCAACGAGCGTCTGGGCTGTTTGGCTTCGGGGGGGAAAGACGTTCAGGATCATCGTTTCTTCAGGAAAGTAAACTTCCGGATGCTGGAGGCCGGACTGGTCGAGCCGCCGTTCAAACCTGATGCAAGTACTTTAAAAATAAACCACTAAAGATACATGTTAGGTCTCTTTAAAACTGATGACTTCATGTTTTTATCATTTACAACTTACCGTATGACAGGGAAAGCATTGCTAAGTAAAAATACAGAAGTGGTTTTGGGAAAATGTGCTTTGTTTACGTTTCAATCGACCCACAAACGTATAACTTCAAAGGAACGTTTATTGGTGAAAACCTTTGTAAATTGGCAGTACTTATACACAAAAGAAAGTCACATTTAAAATAATGATTGTAATATAATTTAAATGTTGCAGCGGTGGAAGAATGATTACGATTTTTAATTGACGGAAACGTTTAAAATGATTATATTCGCATCTCATTATGCAGATTATTATAATACTGGATTGATAATGTGCAGCTAATGAATACATCGCTTATTTGAGCTATTAGCAAAAGGTAGTTTAATCCAGGTTAATAATCCATATTACGAAGTCATTATATAGTTCAGTATGAGGAGGACAGAAAGGATAGAAAATGGAAATAATCAATGAAATACCTCCGTTTGAAGTACCTCAAATATATATCCATTAGTACAGTAGCTAACTTGCTGTCCTTCACTCCCCCAGTAGATGATAAATGGTGTTTTTGAGTATTAAAGGGTTAAAAGCTGTGTTCCTGCTCACTGTGTGGTGGTGTTTGACTCTCTGTTTGCCCCCTGCAGCCCAGACTGGTGTACTGCAGCGACGTGCAGGACATCGATGAGTTCTCCACGGTGAAGGGGGTCACTCTGGGTGAGACCGACTGCGAGTTTTACTGCAAGTTCAACACGGGCAGCGTGTCTATCAACTGGCAGAACGAGGTACTTGTACTCTGACGGAGTATCTGCTTTCCAGGACGCTTTATACTCCAAACCCAGTGCAAATCAAAAGGGAAATATTATACTTTACAACATGTATTGGTACTTGTGGGGTAGAGAAAGTGGCGACAGATAACCAACAAGTACCCATTTATTTAACAGCTTTAGTATTGTTTTAAATAAAGATATTCTCACATGACAGAAGCTGATCAAATATTGCATTCTGTGTAAATTAGATTTACAGTTTGTACAAGAACAGCTTAGTCGTTTAACCACTTATCCAATTAAGATACACTTTATTGGCTTAAGTCCTTTTTTTTTTTTAAAGAATTGTTTCTGGGTGTCAAATATGTCAGATATTTTCTGTGTGGTTTTGGGACTTTATTCAAATTACATTACATTACATCACATTGCATTTAGCTGACGCTTTTATCCAAAGCGACTTACAATAAGTGCGTTCGACCAACAAAATACAAACTTGAAGAAAACAGAATCATAAAGTACATCAGGTTTCATAGAGCCAAAACATTTCAAGTGCTACTCAACTGGCTTTAGGTAAGCCAGTCCTTTGTTAGTATAAAAGTGCTTTGTTAATAGTTCTATCGCTCGAAGTGGAGTCGAAAGAGATGAGTTTTCAGTTTGCGCCGGAAGATGTGCAAGCTATCTGCTGTCCTGATGTCAATGGGGAGCTCATTCCACCATCTTGGAGCCAGGATAGCAAACCCACGTGTTTTTGCTGATGGGAACTTGGGTCCCCCTCGCAGCAAGGGCGCAGCGAGCCGTTTGGTTGATGCAGAGCGTAGTGCACGCGCTGGGGTGTACGGTTTAACCATGTCCTGGATGTAGGAAGGGCCAGATCCATTCGCAGCGTGGTAAGCAAGTACCAGTGTCTTGAAGTGGATTCTAGCAGTTACCGGAAGCCAGTGAAGGGAGCGGAGGAGCGGAGTGGTGTGGGGAACATTTAGGAAGGTTGAAGACCAGACGAGCCGCTGCATTCTGGATGAGCTGCAGAGGTCGGATGGCACATGCAGGTAGACCAGCCAGGAGGGAGTTGCAGTAGTCTAGGCGTGAGATGACGAGAGCCTGGACCAGAACCTGAGTCGCTTTCTGAGTCAGCTGGGGACGTATCTTCCTGATGTTGTAAAGCGTGTATCTGCAGCAACGGGTTGTAGCAGCGATGTTTGCAGTGAAGGACAGGTTGTTATCTAGGGTCACACCCAGATTCCTTGCAGTCTGAGTCGGGGAAACAACTGAGGTGCCGATGTTGATTGTCAGGTTAGAGTGGGACAATCTTTTCCCGGGAGGAAGAGCAGCTCAGTCTTGTCAAGGTTGAGCTTGAGGTGGTGAGCAGACATCCACTGAGAGATGTCAGCTAGACAAGCAGAGATGCGTGCGCTGACCTGGGTCTCTGAGCGGGGAAAGGACAGAATTAATTGGGTGTCGTCAGCGTAGCAGTGGTATGAAAAACCATGCGGGCTAATGACTGATCCGAGCGAGTTTGTGTACAGGGAGAAGAGGAGGGGACCAAGAACAGAGCCCTGAGGGACCCCCGTAGTTAATTGACAAGGGTCGGACTCAGACCCTCTCCAAGTCACCCTGTAGGTACGGTCTTTCAGGTATGAGGTGAGGAGGGAAAGTGCAGAGCCTGAAACTCCAAGTGCTTGGAGAGTGCGAAGGAGGATCTGATGATTCACCGTGTCGAATGCAGCAGACAGGTCCAACAGGATGATGACAGAGGAGAGGGAGGCTGCTTTAGCAGTGTGCAGTTCCTCAGTGACAGCAATGAGAGCAGTTTCTGTGGAGTGACCTGCCTTGAAACCAGACTGGTGCGGATCCAGAAGGTTGTTCTGATTGAGATAACAGGAGAATTGTTTAAAGACAGCGCGTTCAAGTGATTTAGACAGGAACGGGAGGAGAGAGACAGGCCTGTAGTTTATAACATCAGACGGGTTGAGAGTGGGTTTCTTTAGGAGAGGGTTTACTCTTGCCTCCTTGAGACTGTTTGGAAAGTGACCAGAAGTTAGAGAAGTGTTGATGAAATGGGAGAGAAACGGTAGAATATCAGGAGCGATAGTCTGAAGGAGGTTTGAAGGGATAGGGTCCAGAGGACAGGTGGTAGGGCGGGCAGAGGTAATGAGGGTAAGAACCTCACTTGGAGAGAGAGGGGAAAGGAGGTTAGTGTGTTGGTGGAAGGAGGGTCTGGTGACCCAGCGGTGAGTAAAGATGAGTCAGAAAAAGAAGAGCGAATATCATCAACCTTTTTTTCAAAGTGGGGTAACAAAGGCGCTTGACAGAAGTGAGGAGGGGGGAGGAGCTTTTGGAGGGTCCA